TCCATCCATCCATCCATCCATCCATCCATCCATCCATCCATCCATCCACGCATTCATCCACATCTCTGTGCACCCACCCATCCATTCGTCCATCTGTGCATCCAGTATCCATTCATCCATCTCTCTGTCTATCCACCCAGGAACGAATCCATCCATCCATGTCCCATCCATCTGTCCCATCCATCCGTTCCTCCACCCATATAAACATACACGTGTGTATCCAGCATTTGTACATCCACTCCTTGGCCCATCCATGACACCCATCCATTCCTCCATGCATCCCTCCATCCATCCAGCCACCCATGCAGCCACCTGGGGATCGTCTATTCACTCATCCGTACATCCATGCATCCATTCTTCCGTGTATCAGTCTAGCCGTTCACCCGTTCATTCACCCGTTCATACACCCGTTCATCCGTGTGTGCATCATTGATCATTAGTGGAGCCTCCCAGGTCTCCTGCTCAGCCGTGGAGGGGAAGCAGTGCCTGGAACGGCAGAGTGGCTTAGGGAGGCCCACGGAGCGGTAGCGGGGTGAGGAGGAACAGCCCAGGCTCTCTTTCAGCAGCCAGGCTGCTGCCTGCCCAGAGCTACCCGCTGTCATTCCTTTATTGTTTGGATTGATCGTTCAGGACAGAGGGGACCCTGGTCCGTATACCACCAAGCCCTAACTCTATCTCACACCTATCAGGGTTAGGGTAGAAGGCAGCTTTCCATTTTTAAAAAAGTTCATTTTTTTAATGATTACATTTAAAAATTATTTGTATCTGGTGCTGGAGAGATGGCTCAGTGATTGAGAGTACTGGCTGCTCTTCCAGAGGACCTGGGTTCAAGCCCCAGCACCCCATGGCAGCTTACAGTTCCAGAGGATCTGACATTCTCACACAGACATACATATAGGCAAAACACCAATGCACATAAAAAATTAAAAAAATAAAACTATTTATTTGTTATGTGTGTGTGTGCCTATGCATGGCATATGTGAGTCTGGAGGTCAGGAGACAACTCTTTTTGAGTGGGGCCACCATTTTTCTTCCACCTTGTGTGGCTTCTGGAGATTGAATTCAGATCATCAGGCTTGACAACAATCACCTTTACCCACTGAGCCATCTTGCCAGCCCTATGTATTTATTTTTTTTAATCTCTCCCTCTCTGTCTGTGGTGTGTGTGTGTGTGTGTGTGTGTGTGTGTGTGTGTGTGTGTGTGTACTGTGCATGAGTGTGTGTGGGGGAAGGGTGTACATGTGCCATGGTGCCCGCTTGGAGGTCACAAGGCAAGTGAGGGAGTCAGACCTCGTCTTGTCGTCTTGTCTCGTGCATGGGCAGTTGACAAGGCAAAGCCTCTTGTTAACTGCTTGTGTGCCAGGCTAGCTGGCAGTGAGCTTCCTTCTTCCGCCTCCCATCTGTATAGCAGAATTGCCCTACTCTGCCTGGCTTTTGTGTGTGCTCTGAAGATCTGAGTTCAGGTTCCCACGCTGTGTGGCAAGCCTTCTACCCACTCAGCCATCTCCTCTGCCCAAAGTGATCTTTTTAAAACCTCTTATTTTCACAACAATTTAAGCGTCAGTCTTGAGATAAAGACTCCAGTTGGCTGTTTGTGGTGACTATTTTAGGGAGGTGTAACAATTCTAAAGCTGTGTGTGCCTGATGACATCACCTCAGGGTTTAGGTAGCAAAGACTGGACGGGAGCTGGGGCCGAGCTACCTTCCTAGTGGAGATTCGGCACGTGGCCTTGGTAGCGAGTTCTAGCCAGACAGGGTGTTCTTTGTGCCATTATGAGAGACTGGACAGCCCCAGGGAGTACTTCTCAGGGCAGATGGTGTAGAGTCAACTCACAGCCACTAACTAGGACCTCCAAAAGGCAGGCACTCAAGCCTGTCACCCCAGCAGGAGTCAGTGGGGCATGGTGCCTGGTCTCTTGTAAGAAAAGCATTGCAGTGAGGCAGCAGCCTTTCCCCTGACCTTAAGAAAAAGAAAATCACAACTCTAAAGAGGCCTAGGGGCAAGACCTAAAATGACACATATAAATATGTCAAAACTGGTCAATTGTGTGAGTGCGGGTGTGCACAATTCCCGCCTGTGAGCACGTGTGGAGGCAGAGGAAGAGTGTTGTGCGAATCGGAGACTGGCTGGGAACAGTCAAGTGGACCGTCAGGACTGACTAAGCAGGGTGACGGGACATTAGAGAATGCAGTCCTGTCATCTATAACGTCTCCGCTCATGTGGAAAAGTGTTCAGTGAAATGAAACTGGAGAGAAACCAAAGCCACTGTCGCGAACAGGAGCCAGCGTCTTTAATGGACAACGGACCTCCTATGCTTCCTGTTAAGACATCAGAAGTGCCTTGTTCAAGCCGGTACTGAGGTTCCACGCCCGGCACTGCCGGCTTATGCAGCCCTTCTATGAAGAGCCTAGACAAGGCAAGGCATGGATATCACAATGTTGGGAGGAAAAAAGAATATGCAAGTCACTGTTAGGTTTGTTAGCGAATCTCAAAGCAAGCTGCAGCAGAGGCTGGTGAGAAGGTTCAGAGAGTAAAGGTGCTTACTGCCAAATCTGATGGCCCGTGTTTGGTCCACACAGTGGAAGGAGAGAACCCACTCTCACAAGTTGTCCTCTGACCTCCAGAGGCACACACACAAATACATGTTTTTAAAATAAAGTTTAAAAAGCAGACACAAGACTTTCCGCCCAGGCTTCCACGTGCATAAATCCAATATGCAAAGGCTGGCATTTCCCCTACGTACAGGGAGCAGCTAGGAAATTCAATTTGAAAATTATTAGCTACAATAGTGCCGAGAGTAATAAGGAATCAAGAAATAAATCTTTTGAAAAATGTGCATGACCTTTTGGGGAGGAAATGGTAAAACTTTATTGAAAGATAAAAAGGAGAAAGAGAGGATACTAACAGGCAGGCAAATGGAGTATGATGTCAGGTCCCTGCTCACTGTTATAGGCTGAGTGCAGGACAGCCCGGGACTCTTACGCTGTTTGCTCAAGCGTATTCCACAATATAGTTGGAAGAGCAGAGGCTCCTCAACAACTAGGCCAGTCCTGAGGGAGTTTAAGAGAGGCAGGTTTCCCCTGTTGCATGTAAAGGCTTAGAACTGGGGTAACTGAGGCAGGCTCACACCGGCTCCTGAGTGGGTGGGCAGACCAGGATTTGGCTCGCAGGCGGCGGTCTTGGCACATGAGATGTCCTGACTGCCATTCACTGGGAAAAGCTAGGTGGGACTCTTGTGAAACAGATGGCACTTTTTGATGGTCTGTGTTCACTGTCAACGTGACAGAATCATTTGGGGGAAAGGTCTCCGAGCGTGTTTGCAGGGGTTTGTCATGATCATGTTGGTTGAGGTGGGAAGATCAGCCCACTGTGGGTGGCACCAACCTGTGGGCTGGTGGTAACGGAAAAAAGGAGCTGAGTGACAGCGTGCATTCGTTACAGGTTCCTCATTGTGGTCGACCAGATACTTCAAGCCCCTGCTGCTTTGATTTCCCCACGGTGATGGATTCTAACCTTAAACCATGAACCAGAATAAATTCTTTCTCCCTTAAGCTGCCAGGGTCAGAGTATTTTCTCATAGGGATAGGAAAAGAAACGAAGAATGCACTGGAGAAGTCAAATCAACATCTCACAAAAACTACAAGCAGTTCCTGTGTCATCTGAAATCCACTCTGTGTTTAAAGGCCCTTATCTGCAGTCAGAAACTTCACACACTCTATAGAATATCTTCATGAAATTGGATAGGAAGCCTTAAGAAAGACCTACTCAAAGGAGCATAAGTCATTAGGGGAGAAAATTTAAAGTCGACCACATACAAATAAGCATTTATAAATATCACAGCTTATAAAAAAAAATAATGGCACAGACTGGAAATGAACTATGCAATATTTATAGAAATCCACACTTGAAGATCAAACACTGAACTTCTCCAAATAAATATAAGAGAGAGAGAGAAATACCCCAGCAGAGAAATGGGCAAAGACATGAATAGGTAACTTATGTAATAGGAAACTCAAAAGTCCGATAAACAATTACAAACACTAATGCCCAACAAAACACCTGCAAACACAAAAGCCCAATACATGTGTTGCAGTATCTCTAGCAATCAGTTGATAGGATCAAAACGGCAAGAAGCCTACATAATTTTGCCGGTAGGATTTTTGGTTTGGGGTGGTTTTTCCAGCTGGAATCTTGCTATATGGGCTCTGGCTGGCTTGGAACACATTCTGTATCCCAGACTCAAGCTCCCAGCAATCCTGCTGTCTCAGCTTCCTGAGTGCTTGGATTGCAGGCATGAGCCACCATGCTGTGAGAAGGTTTTTGACTTGCCAAGTTTCCACCAGCTTGCTCTACTGCGTCTGACCTCTCCTTCTCCTCTTCCTTTCCCTCCCCCTTCTTTGCCTTTTGTCTTCATGCTGGCCCCTGCTTAGGCAACATCCCCCTGGGCATCCTCTGTTGAAAATCACAATTCACAGCCACCAGCTTTCCCTGCTGATGACTCTGAGGAGGTCGCTCTGTACCTCTCCCATGGCCTGTGTTTCCTCCTGCCTTGCTCATGGCTCTAGTGATACAGTGTTTGCCTTCTGTACAGAGCAGAAACTCCAGGACAGCCTGTCTGGCTGCATTTTAGAGTCACCAACTACCAACACAATGCCTGACCTAGAGTAGGCCCTCTAGTGCTTGCACTTGGGATTTAGGCCAACTGACTTGGAGGATACAGATTCTTAGGGAGCAACTGTGGCCATGCCCTCAGTCAGGAAGTGAACCTCCAAGCCCAGAGGGTGCCTGGGTTCCTCTTGGAGCCTATGTTAGGTGCCTTTGGGTGGTCAGGGCACCTAGCACCTGTGGGGCGCCAGGTTCTCTTCCAGACCGCATGCTCCACCCCCTCAAGCGGCTGTGGGACAGCCGCTTGGGTAAGTTCCTCTTCCGTTTCCTCCTGCCTCCTGAGCTGGGGTGCTGCTCCTCATTGTGGGGCGTCTCCCAGCCACTCCATACCGTTGGTGTCCACAGCAGCTCTCCTGGCCCCCAACTGCCATCGCTGGCTGCTGGGCCTCAGATTCGATGCAGGCCATCAAGTGTGTGGTGGTGGGCGATGGGTAAGTACCTGGTCGAGTTGCCTCCCACCTGCTACCAAAATGTCTCTGAGACCCTCCCAGGAATACTCACAGGTTCAGGGCTCCCAGGAGGTCTGGGGATAGTCACTTCCTCTCCCAGGGCTCACCAGGAGCATTTGGGGTGGATCTGGTCCGTTCCTTTGTCCTCAGCCCACCCCACCCCGGAAGCCACCTGGGTGGAGGGTCTGGGACCGTGGGTGGGGTGCTGCTCCTTGCCTGTACCCTGAGAATTGGGGCAGGGCTCCCACAGAGGCCAGCGTTAGGCTCCTAGTCACGGTGCAGGTGTGAGGTGAGGAAAAAAACAAACAAACAACCAAACCAACAACTTGACCTTTGGACCTTTGTTTCCCAGGCTGACCTGGGCTCTAGTGGCTGGGCTTGCTGCTGCTGGGGGACACCGGGGAACTTCCAATCTTTCTCAGTTTGGGGCAAGGCCTCTGCCCCCAGCGGTGGGTTGGGGTAGCTTGAGACAGGTGCCTGGCTGTCCTGCCTGCACTATGTGATTCTATCCCTTGTTGTGGGGAGGATGTAAGGAAGGGGATGTCAGTGAGGAGCGAGAGGGAGCACTGAGGCCAGTGTAAGGGGAGGAGGAGGTGGAAGGGATTGTGGGGACTCCAGAGGGCAGGCTGGCTGCAGCCCTGTTGAGGGCTTGTATTCATTGCCAGATCTTGGGACCACAGGCTGTCATGAGCCAAGGCCTCGATTTCCTAATGTGCGGTGGGTCGGTTTCTCATGCATTCTAGGTCATTAAGGTGCAGTCCTCAAGTGCATCTTGGGTCCTGCTAGGTCCATTCTGACATGTCCTAGATACCCAGCTTCAGTCTAAAAAGGGGAGAGACCGAAGCCTTGAGACCTTTTCTGGCTTGGGTCCCAAGGCCACACTTTGGCTCTGCTGGGGGGAGAGCCTCAGCTGACTGCGGCTGCTGGTGGGCCGTTATCTGCTGCAGCTGCCTTGCTCACTTCTGCTTTGTGCCTGATCTGGGGGGGGTAGGGTGGCCGGAAGTCAATGGTTCCTAGTCATTCAAAGTTACCTTGGTGGCAGGCTGGGGCTTAAGGGCAGCCGTGTGTGTGTGTGTGTGTGTGTGTGTGTGTGTGTGTGTGTGTTGGGAGGGGTGTAGAGTTGGGGGAAAAGGCAGGGCAGCCTCTCAGAGTGGGAAGTGACTTAACGGAATAGAGCTGGGGAAGGCCCAGAGCTGTCCCTCTGGCCTCTCGGCTTCCTGCTGAATGACCTGGGTGGCCTCTCAGCTTGGCAGGGAGACATTTTGTCCCATTTCTGTCTCTTACTGTGTGTGGTCACTGGGTCACGGCCCTCTGGATGATTTCTCTTCCCACAAACCCTACCCACCATCACAGAGTTCAGGTTACAGGTGGGAAGACTGAAGCTCAGAGAAGTTAAGTAACCTGCCTCAGAGTGCAGAGGATTCGAACCCAGGCCTCTCTGGCTTCAAAGAGAGGTTACAGGCATTCCCTAACAGTCGCTGGTTGTCACAGCCTCTGAGGTACTGGGTTCAGTGTCTTATAAGTATCACATAATTCACTGGGAAGAAGGGATTGCCCTTGTTGTCTACATGGGGAAACTGAGGTACAAGGCGCTTAGGTGACCTGCCAAGGTTGTGTAGATGGCAAATGGTGGAGCCAGGATCTGAAGCCCAGGAGTGTGACAACCCTGTCCAGGTGCCCAGGGTCCTCTCCCCCGTCTGTGTCTATCACGTACCCAGCACTCCCGAGAAGCATGGCTTACACCCAGGGCTAGGACGGAAGTCAGGATGCAGGGGACTGATAACACGGCCATAGGGTGTCTGGAATTGGGAGACTGGAGAAAGGGCTCGGGCCTCCCCTTCCCTCAGACACAGCTTGTGACCTCGGGCTCTCCCGCTTCTTGTCTCGTGTCTTTCAGAGCTGTGGGCAAGACGTGCCTTCTCATCAGCTACACCACCAATGCCTTCCCTGGAGAATACATCCCTACCGTGTGAGTTCCGCCTGCTCCAGGCACTTCTCGGGGCTGTCCTCTTTGGGGTCAGGGCGGGCTGGTAAAGCTAGAGAGACTCTCCATCTTGGGGGGGAGTGGCTCGGAACTCAGCTGGCAACGCAATGACTTCTGCCAGGGAGGCAGAGGCTCCAGGAGGAAGGGGGGACTGTCGGGTGGGAAGGCGTCCTTCAAGCTGGCCGGGAGGAGAAAGTGGGGTGTGGAGGTGAGGGAGGAGAAGGACCTCAGAAACTTAAGATGGTAGCAGGTTCTGGAGACCAGTACGCTGGGGTGAGGCGGTGCCAGATGCAGTCTGTGGGAGGCCACCAGCTGCCACATGATAACAAAAGGAGGAGTGTGCATGTGACAGAAGGGACTCGTGCCATCCTGTCACTTCCAGGGCACCTCCCTAGTTCTATGCAGGCTCTTCAGGGTCCCTCAGTCTCCCCGTCTACAGACATTACGCACTGTTTGGCTTTTTAGACCAAGGCTCCTTAGGCAGGCCTACCGCAGGACCTTTGCACCAGCTCTCGCCTTCCAGAAATCCCCTGCGGCGACTTCCTGTCTCATTGTGACATCTACACCCTCCAGGCCCATCCTTGGCACCCTCCTGGAAGCCTTTGATCAAGGCTAAAGCCCTGCCATTCTCCAGAGGAGCTTGTCAGGTCTCTCCCAGTATCAGTAGAATGTGGAGGGCAGAAAACCATATGGTTTTTTTTTTTTTTTTTTTTTTTTTGGTCTCTCCCCGCCTTCTCTACACAGTGGTTGACACACAGCATGATAGACACAAGGTCTTCTACACGAAATCTGTGCTTTGAGGTGACGAGGCCCAAGGGGAATCATCACAACTAAGATCTTGTTAGAAGACCTATGGTTTAGTGGCCCGGGACCGGATGCAACTCGTGATTGCGTTGGGTTCTCAAGGGAAGGGGGTGTTACAATATCCTGATGGCAGTTACAGGGCTTGTTCCTTGGGGCCACTCAGCCTGCCTGACTTCAGCACCTACCTGGGACCCTCGTCTTTACCTTCATGGGAGCTCTGCCTGGAACAGAAAGAAGAGGGTATACACGGGGCTCAGAACTTCCCACAGCATCAAAGGAGCCACCATCCCGCCAGTGCCAAACCAAGGCTCTGTTCCAAGTCCTCAGTGTGGCTGTATGGGGATCTCTTTCTGGATCAGGGGCTTCAGCTGCCTCTGATACCTGTCTTAGCTGAGGGACCCAGCAAAGGACAGCCAGAGGGGCAGGGCGGGCCTCTGGATACCAGTCTGTGCCCAGCTGCATCCTGATGTGAATGAGGCCTCTAGAAACTTCCCTGGGGCACAACTCAGGAATGACTCCCACCACCAGGCTTATAAGGCACCCAGAAGTCAGAGAGGGCTGGCGCTAGACCTGAGCAAGAATGGGAGCCCAGGGGGTTATGGATGAAGGCTCCTGTCACCAGGGTGCATTGACACTGCTCTTGTCCCTGAGTTAAGACCCTGTCGTGTCTGGTCCTGGCTTCGCGGGAAGGCCCATTTTGATTAAGGATTTCAAAGCAATCACTTTCCATCTGAACCCAAGCGCCTCCCTTTCCCTTTCTACAAGAGACAGGCCCTGGGCTGGGAGATCTGAGCCTTGTGCATCTGCTTTCCTGCATGGTGGTGAGAGATGGAGAGGCTTGCGGTGTCCTGAGGGCCCAGACTGGCAGGTTGCAGTGTTGAACAGTTGCTGAGGTGGCAAGGACCCACAGATCTGTCCCTGATTGATCTCCCTGTGCTTCTGTGGAGGTGGCAGCTGGTACCCGGCTGCCCTGGGATTTCCTCCTCTGAGAGGAACCTGCGGCCAACAAGGTTGGCACACATATTCTCAGATGAGGACACCTGCCCGAGAATGGTTCTGTGCTAAGTGCTAGGGGCACAGAGGCATGACAGAAGCCCACATGACCTGGCACCATGACACAGGCTCTCATCCTGTCTCCCTGACTCTGTCCAGCTGAAGCCCACATGAGCTTTGATTTTATAATTTTTCTTTTTCTTTCTTTCTTTCTTTCTTTCTTTCTTTCTTTCTTTCTTTCTTTCTTTCTTTC